TCGCTTTGATATGCACCCGTTTTGAGTTCCGTTTCGATATGCGAGTAAACAGTAAGTTGTTTTTATTCTAGAGCGTTCAAATGAGGAAACTGAATATAAAATAGATTTTTCGAGTCTATGATTTATTTGGATACTTACTTGAATTCACGATCCCGATGCCAAACAGCCAATTGAATTCGAGACATTTCATTGCCACATAAATCAAATGTAAAACGATGATCGAAATATGGACGATGTGAATTACAATGGACAGCCGTTCGCTGAAATCCACTGTCTGTTGTGTCTGAGATAAGAGCGACCTGGTAATTGGAAAATTGTGACAAAACGGTTATGAATAATCAATGAAATTATGAAAAATGAATGAAAAAAATTTAAAAGACGAAAAAATTGCGAATTTACATTTGTTAATGAAAAGTGAAAAAAAAACGCCAAAGTAAAGAAAGTAATTTTAAAAACTCACTTTAACATATGCGTTGACTTGGCCACCATTTGAGCGGGATAAATCACGACATCGGATGACTGAAAGTTAAAATCAAAAATTATTTTTCTGAAACTCAAAAAATCGTCCGTCTTAAATGTGAAATAAAAATTCGGAAAAAATTTCCCGCATAAAATGAAAACATTTTTGTGCATATTTGGGATTCGATGCGATCATACCAACTCACCGTGAATATGAATTTTGTTGTTTTCAATGTGAATGGTCAACTCTAATGACCCACTAACAATGCCATTAGTTCGAATTGAGTTCGATAGATTCGATATGGATGCGATTGAATTTGTCGATGAGGCGGTCGATTTGCGTTTTTCCAATGAATCATCGGTGGTGGTAGAAGATCCACTGCCACTGGGCGATGAATCGGAGAAGGTAAGACATCGTCGAATGGCATTAACCGTTTCAATGTGTGTAGGTGTTGAGCTGGCTTGTAAATCGTTTGTATTAATGCACGGTGTGCTGTCAATGGACATTTTTGAGCCAATCGAAGTGATGCCACAATGCGGTTGTGGTGCATACGTAAGATTTACATCACTCGAATCAATGACCGGTGTATTCATGTTGGCCAATTCATCGACACTTTTCTTGAAAAAAGAGCTCATCACAAAATCACTGTCGGACGGTGTTTTCGGACTAACCAATTCCGATGTTTCGGTTTCTGGTTTTGGTGATTCATTTTGTTCCGTTGAAAAATCACCGTCAACACTCATTGCTTCCGATTTTTCTTTTTGTTGATCACATTTTGTATGTTTTCTTCGTACCGCTCGTTGTCGTTTCAAATAACAACTATTAATTGCCTTCTTTCCATTTTTCGACTCAACTTTTTCCACTTTCTTTCGTTTGATTTGTGTTGGTTCGGGTGTTCGAACTTCACGTTCGTTAACTGCGTTCGGTTCTTCTAAAATGATTGTACGTTCGCCAATCAATTTATCTGGCGATATTTGAAAATTATCACAAAATTTATTCAAATCACTGGCTGGATCTTCGGCCGGTGTGTATGTGGGTGAATCGGAACCCATTTGCATTAATGCCATATGAATTTTTCGCGGTGCCAAATTTCGAACAATGGACGGTCGTTCTTTGCGTGCACTTTCTAAAATTGCATCAATCATTTTATCCAATGCAGTATCGTCGAGTGCCGACGAACTAAGTGACGTTTCGGTCGATGGGATTTTTGATGCAATCAATTTGGTCGGTGTCATTGGTTTTTTCATTAAATTTGCATCGTTTGTAATGCATTCATTCTGATTTTTATTATTATCATTGTTATTATTATTGCCACTCTCCACGCCAACCAATTCAACTTCTTTCACAGTCGTTTTTTCGCTCTTTTTACCCACGGATGGAGCAGTGGATCGTTTCGAACCGAATTTCAATTTACTGAATCGTAATTCGGTGAGATGTGGTGTCATGCCACCGGGTGAGAATTTCAGTCGCTTTGATGCCGGCAATGGTTCCTGAAAATATCGCGGTTGATTGAAAAATGAGTCTGTGGTGACGGTGATGCTGTTCATTGGATTTGGTAGAATTGGTTGTGTGGCTCCGCACGGCGAATATTCCACATCAAATGTTGGCAACGTCGATGCGTACGGTGTCTGTTGTGCTAACATTACGGATGCAGGATTTGATGCTAGGGCTGATTCTTTGGGCGATGAACAAATGACCCGGTCAACTTTTGGTGAATCAGGCGGTGTTTTTGCTAACGGCCGTTTTCGGCTGGGTGTCATCGCATTTATCAGCGCTGATATTGAATTTGAATTGTGTTTTGGTGTGATATTTCGTACATCACGCAATGCATAATCTAATTTTGAACCAAATGCTATGACTGGAGTGCTGGTGATATTTTGACGAAATCCATTCGGATGAGGTGTTAATACTACTTGATTTTCTTTATCACGATTTTGAATTCGTTTACTAAGCTCAGATGAACCGAGCGATTTTCGTTGACGTTCACGATTCGCTGTTCGCGCTGGACGTGACAGATTACCTAATGAACGTCGCGCATGTAATCTCTGATTTGTATTCGGCTGGGGGGCCAAGAGTAGTGTAGATAATTTTGAACCTGCGTCACCAGAACCACCCGGTTCGGCACGTTTGGTCCACTTCAACATGTTGACTGAATCACGATGACCTGAAATTTGAAAGAAAACAGAGAAATCGGTTAGTTTTCGGTGGAAAACAGATGCATGTGAGAAAAAAGAATGCCTTTGTTTTGAAGAATGAACAGCTTTTTTTGGTGTAATGAAAAGAACTACAATGAATTACGTCAAAGAAGTGAAAATACTCTTTTTCAAAGAGATAATAACTGTAACTGTTTCTTTTTTTTAAAAATGACGTGAAAAATTGTTAACGGAAAAATTTAATGAATCCTTCGAAAGGAATGGATGAACAGAAGTTTGATTTCAAGAAAAGACATGAATCAAATGAAAAAAACATTTCATTGAAATCGATCTGAAATGGACAAAGAAAATTCTTTCTCAAATAATTCGGAGAACAAAAATTTGAATAAAAAAAAAAAAAACTTGTCACAAAAAATCCTTTGAATTCAGATTTTAAAAAACTGTAAATTGAAAACTTTTTTTATCATCAAAAAAATTCAAGTTGCGTTGAAAATTACTGTATTTCTTTTACAAAATTGAGAGTCACACCTCCAATTCACAATATAATAATTACCAAAACCACAAGAAAAGTCCAATAAACCAAAGAGAACGAAAGTTCAACATTTAAATCGAAATTGTGTTCGTTCTCATGATTCCTTGTATTAGCCGATATGAAAAGGAATATAATGTTGTAATAATTGCCCGTATTTATGATGCGTTCTTCCTTGTTCTTCAATTACGTAGCACAATTGATAGCTATCAGTATATTTCATACAATAAAACGCAGAGAATAAAACACTCCGTCTCTTTTGTTGATTCATGTGGTTTAGTATATGTATGTGTGTCTAGTTTGACAAGTCCTGCATGTGAATTGGAATTGTTCTCTGAGTCATGTGTATAATTACGCGATTCGCTTGAATTGCAGAGTGAACATTGATAGTAGATGTCTTTTTAACGATTTTTTTTTTCGGAGGAAACGACAATAGATAATCAAAATATTTGCTTCCTTTGTTCGACCAAGGAAGAAAAATCCAAAAACAAAAGGATCCTTTCTCTTCACATGACAATAAATGCGATTAAAATCGGATGATAACAGACGGACAAGAGCGATTGTGTCATGGAAAGGAGTTGCATGAGCAATTTATAATAATAATCGGTGGTGATTTCGTTCATTCCATGAATTTTTAAAAATGATGATGTTGTAAAAAAATTCACGATTTCACTTTAATTAGCGATCAAGACGTATTTTAACGAACTTCGTTCGATGTTTCAGTTCTTTTGTATTAAATGTTTTGGAATTCTTCAGTTTCGTGCTTCTTTTGAGTTTTTTTCATTCACCCTTGACAAAGAAGCGATTCGAGGGTGGAATCAAAACGCAATCGACAAAAGGGTTTCAAGAACCTGTTTCGTCTTGAAATTCGTTAGCTAAAACGGTTGTTGGAGTGAATTGAACTTTTGTCGCTAACTGCATTAGATTGTTAGACAGCAGGTGCAAACACTTCGTTTGTCTTGTTAGCTATCGCATTTGTCTTTGTGTTGGTGACTCTCTCTCTCGCTCTCTCATTCTTTATCTCTCTTGTTCACTCATTCTCTTTGCGTTTGTTATAGCACGCGTCTAATGTTATCGCACACACACTCAAGTGGAGCTGTGTTTTTCGAGAACATATGTTCCGTCGTTTAGTTTTGTTTTTATTTATGATTTAACATCTTGTTATTGCCGTTTTCGTTTCTTCTCCTTCAGCACATGATTGAGAATAAAGAAATGAACACGATTCAAGTATGTTTATTTTGGATTGGATGACTCGGCAGAAATTAGGTGATTTTGTGATTTTTTTCATCATTTTTTTAAAAATCGAATAAAAACTGCAATTTTCATCACTGGTCACCTGCATTTTAATACTTTGTCACAGTGGCACACAAATCAATATTTGTTCAAATAACAACAACAGCACCATTTTCTTAAATTTGGTCTGAAAGAATTGTTGTTCGGCCAACTGTTGTGACGTGCTCATTTAAAATTCACTTCAATGCTATGCAGCACTTTGCACTTGTTTTAAAAGCGCGCGCACATCATCTGTTCTTTCAATTTTAATGCTCACTGTCATCGATTTTGTTTAACAAATTTATTGGTTTTTAACACATTCTCTCTCCGCACATGGATGATTATGCACTTTTTTCTACAACTTAAGCGTGCTGAAGTAATTGCCAACCAATTTAACGGTCAAATTGAGACAATTGGCTTTTGCGCGAACGCATCCACAATGTTATAATTACAAGAAGTACAATTTTTATGCAAAGAAAAAAATTAATTAAATAGATCAAGCGCACCATATGCGGTGGCTTGTCATTTGAACTCATTTAATTGCATAAATGGTTTGGCCTTGAACATAATGAACAATTTCGCGAGTATTGGCAGTTTTTTTAACGGACAAATATCTCTTGCTATCGAACGCATCTGCATCTTCTAGTTTATGTAGACATTTATGAAATTTGACATGTTTTTTTTTTTAATTCTCTCTTGAAACATTATTTTTAAATAATTCAGTCAACGTTTTATGTCCTTTGTTCTTAAACTGGTCGATATGACCGTTAAAAATGTCAATTTTCCGTTGGAATTTTCTTCTTTCGATTTCATCGAAATTGTCTAACCGAAAGTGACTAGAATTCAATCAAGTTTGTTCCACACTTAATTTTGTATATCGATGCACATTTTTTCGATGCGTGAATGCATATAAATAATATTCGTTCCGTGATCCAAATCCACAGTTGGTCATTTGTCCATTTTCTTTCTTCGGTTGAACTGACACTGAAGAATTGCCCAAAAACCACGGTTCTTTCGCTCATTTCATAGATTCCGATATATCAAAACCGTATTTTCTCTAACGAATGAACGCGCCAAGGCTGGTGAAATATAAACACAACCTCACTATCCGTACATATGTGAGTGTCGTTGCATGCATCTTTGGTCGAGACTTAAAAAAAATATTCCATCCGAAATAAATCATCGGGATTTCCATTCATATCTATTGTTTGTCATTGTTTTGTTGTCCTTGTGAGCATTTTCGTCGCTGTTTTGGCCGTCTTTTCATCTCTCTTTCGATGGCAACGAGCAGGAAATTTATTGGCATTTCTTCGTTTCCCCGATATTTTTCTCTTTACGAAGAAAGAAATGAGCATTCGCAATCTCACACTAACATGATTATTTTTACATATTTATTGCATCCAGATTTTAAGATATCACTCTCTCTCTCTGTCTTTCTTTTATCTTTCGAAGAAAATATTTTGCACACGCTTAGAAGCAATATGTATTCGTTTTGGTCTTGATGCTATTGTTCGGATGACGAACAATGCAAAAAGGGAGATCAAAAGAAATCCAGAGAGAGAGAAAGAGAAAGAGAAAAATAACAACATAAAATAGGAAGAAAAGCATTATTTATTGAGTGTATGTGTTTGCGCACACCGTGACCTTTCCCTCTCTTTGAACTGGCCATTATTTGTTTGGTCAGTCGCATTCAAACGACACATTACATTATATACCATAATGGAAGAAGCAGTGTAGCAAATTATGCGGTGAAAATGGAATGCAACACGGGAGAAATCGAGAAAAAGAACGTGAAATGGACACTGAAGTAACGAAACCAGATCTACCAACGGTGATACGATAGACATGGACAATTTTTGATCATACGTAACGAAAGACAATTTATCGGAAGATGAAAATGCAACGAATATTGATAGATATTGAGAGATTAAATGCGAGGTTTGAGCAACGGAGTTTTTAAAAGCCAGAAAAGAGGGAGAGAACGGAAGAAAACTCAATTTCACTTTCACTCGAACATAAATACAATTTCGATCGAAAAATTAAAAAAAAAAAAAATCTTCGTCCATTAACACCGCGAATGAATAAAAATTCGCCTAAAACTAGGCAAACAATATCCTGTGCGTTCATAAAATCCTTGTATATGCTGGTTGTGTAGTGTGAATTGTGTAGCAATGTAAATGTGCACTTAGAATGGAATTTCAGCTGCTCGTTGGTTGGGCCTCTCTCTCTCTCTCTCTCTTTTTCTAAGTGAAATGGTTCTTTGGCGTAAGGTACATTTCGGTGTTCGATAACAGTGTGATCGCTAAAAGTGCCAGCGTATTGAGACTCCTCGTCTTTGAATTAAACATATATATACGTGAATGATGGTGGAAGAAGCAGCGAAAATATAGTGGATGAATTGCCAACCGTTTGCCGTACATATAAATGGGTATTAAGTGTATGTATCGGTATGAAGTGAGAGTGTATCAGTCACTTGGGTCGCAGCTGCTTATAACTATTTCGAAATTATTATTATTCTCTTCTCGCCAATTTTTTTTTCTCTCTTCCATTTGGTTTCCATGTTCATTTGCTTCAGACGCCAGTGTTTGCATAGAGAGAATATCTGACATTCTTTCGTGTGTCTGTGTGCGTTTGTGGTGTTGAGTTTTAATTCACTTCTATTTCACCTTTTGAATGAAAACTGCTGCATCTTGTGTCATGGGCATACACACAACAATCATTGCTTATTTATTTTCTTTCTATTCTTTCTTATATTTTTCGCCACATTTCACCAAAAACATTATTTTCTCTTCGGTTTTCGCATGTAAGAGTATCGCCGAAGATTATAAACGACGGTGCATTTGTTATAGTTTTCAGGGATGCGCGCAACTTTTCTACCTAAAATCGAACAGAAGGAACCGAAGTGTAAAAACGTCGAAAAAACGATACACTACCGAATACAATTTGTCATTAGGCACATAATAAATGATCTAGACCTTGAGATATTTTCAAGCGAAACAAATTTTGCGGTGCAAAATTCTCGGTTCTTGTTTGCGCAACAGATTCCGAAAATATGTAAACGTAGAAAGATAGAAGGAAGTAAGATGGAGAGAAAAAAAAATCAATTTCGATAGAAAAATTGATTTAGTTTCGGCATTAAAAATTGAGAGAAAAAGTGAGAGAATAAAAGGTACATTCCGCTATTTAACCATCGGATTTATTTTTTCTTTT